TTTAAACACGCCCCATGCATCTGCACGGCCGCTGGCAGAGTCGGAAGACGCGCGACAGTTTCTCAAAAAAATCAATGGAGAGTGTCAGATCCTATAATCTGGGAACTGGGACATAAAATGTTGCTGTTTCGTGCCAGGAACCCCTAAGCATGAATGAGGACCCTCGTTGTTAAAACATGGAGTTGTAGGGTTTCTGGGGCCTGGGGTGTGTTTAAAGAGCCACACAGATGTGTGTCAGGGGGAACCCCGCTCCTGGGCCTCCACCCTGGGGGATGACCAGGGTCAGGACAGGCTGAGCGCTGAGCTCTGGGCTGCTGGGCCTGCCCTGGCTGGTGCCTTGGCCTCTCCCTGCCCTGCCAGGACTCCGGCCTCCGTTCGCTCTCGAGCCCCGGTGAGTCCAGGCTCCTGCTCTTGGACTGTTTCTCAGGGGCGCTTTCTGAGACACGCCCGCCGGCCGATGCCCTCCTCCTGCTCCCCACCCCAGGTTCCCGCCAGCTCCTTGCTTCCATCCTCAAACAGCCCCTTTTCGGAGCCCATGGAGGCACCTGGCACCTTCCCCAGCACAGGGCCCGGCCCCTGCCCGGCTCTCGGGTGTCCAGAGCAAGGAGGGCACCAGCGCCGAGGGCAGCACCCCTCCCCTGCAGAGGCTGCTCCCTCGGGAGGCTCCGCTCTCTCAGATCTGGTGATCCGCGTCCGCCCCGGCTCTGGCGCCCCTCGCTGGTGCCGGCTCACACTCAGGACCTCAAGCCCAGTGCAGCCTTCATTCCCCCCTTTCCCGGCTGATCCCCATTAGACGGCCCCGGGCAGCAGACCTAAGCCCCCTCCCGGCCCCCGTCCCGAGAGCGGAGGTCCTGGTCCCGTCGCCACGTCGTCCCCCTTCATCTTCCTCGCGCTGCCCGGAGCCCGGCCCAGCTCAGGACCGTGGGCGGCTGACCCAGGCCTCTGAGCGCCCCGCCTGCCCCAGGGCCCGGGCGGGCTGGGGGGCGGGACTGTGGCCCCTTCTGCCTTGGGCTCCCCGCAGGACTCGGCCAGCCCCTCCCAGCCTCGGTTTCCCCGTGTGTGAGGCCTGGCGGTAGCTCCGCTCTCTGGAGAGCTTGTGGGGTCTGCTCAGGGCTCCTTGCAAACTGTCAGGCTCGCAGGAGCGGGGTGCCCAGAGCTGCGATCACGAGGCACCCAGGTGTGGCCGGCACAGGTGTGCCCTCAGCCGGAGAGGCCCCCGGGAAGTGTGGGCAGCCGGGGGGTCCCGGCGTCCTGGGGCGCAGTGATGCCTGGCCACCCTCTTCCTGTGCCCGCTGTCCTCACACCCCGGTCTGGCCATGGGCATCAGTCTCTGTACACATGGAGAAACTGAGTCTCGCGGAGGCCCGAGCCGGTGAGCCGCCTCCCCCACCTGTGCGGCCTCCGGGCCAGCCAGCGGGAGCCTGGGGGACAGGGCTCGGCGGCCCCAGGGGGGCGGGGGCGGAACGTGGGTCCCCGCCAATGAAATAATTACAGAGTGTGAAAATGGCTTAATTAAATCATTTTTAAAAAGTGAGTATGTACAAACACTCAGCAATTACGCTGCCGATTTGCAAATAGCAATTTCCAGGCGCGCTTCCCTTCCATGCCTGCATCTGCCCGTTTTCAGAGTCCGGGTTTTATTTTTCATTTGAGCGAGTGGATCGGATGGTGCCTCTGCGTCGCCGGGCGGCAGAAGCGCTCCGAGGTCACGGGGAGAGCCTGCGCCCGAGGCCCCACCGGGGCCCCGCCTCCCCCTTCAGCCTCCCCCTGGACACGCGGGACTCCGGGCAGGGTCCCGGGGCCTAAGGAGCACCGAGGGGCGTCAGGGGCACGGCGTGCTGGGCCAGAGAGGGAGCCCGCCGGCCCAGTCCGTAAGCGTCCAGCCCGCGCCCGGCCCGGCCCCGGGAGCTCACCGCTGCCGTCCGCGCCACCCAGCCAGGCATGGGCTCGGGGCCGAGTCACCTTTGGGGTTGGCGCCCTGGGCTGCGGGGGGGAGTCAGGAACGGGAAGCCTCCGCCCCGGGCTGTCCTCTCTCCCTGGGATCCACAGACGCCCACGCGAGGCCCCCACTTTGGCTCCAGTCCCTGGTGCCTGGCTGGAGAGCCCAGGGGTGGAAGGGAAAACACCCCCCAAGCCTGAGGCTGCAGCTAACTCGGCAAGGGGCTGGGATGAATGCGGGGCCTTGAGGAGGGTAGGTGGTCCTGGGGCCCCAGTAGCCCTAGGGGACCCTGGCCCCTTACTGGGGAGCAGGCGGGGAGGAGTGGGGGGCAGATGGAGGAGGGCCCCAGCCACACTCTGCTGCCGGAAGGGCCAGCAGTTGGGCTTCTCCTTGGAGCTGCCAGAAGCTGCGGCAGCGGGGCTGGCCGCCTGGCCGGGGTCCCACGCTTCAGCCCGAGACCGTGCGCCTTGCTCAAGCCGGCGCTGGTGGTGCTTTGCTGCGTCTCCTTGGTGCGTCGGCCCAGGCAGCCCAGCCCTGTGCGGTGACCGGCACATAGTAGGTGCTCAGGAGGCGCGTGCGGTGAGCACATTTGACTCATGAATGCAAATTCCCAGGCCTGCGTGTGGGGCTTACAGCGTCAAAGCCAAGCAGTGCGGAGGAGGGCGCATGAGTGGGCAGGGGGTGGGTGTGCGTCTCGGACCCGGAGCTGCGGCCCCTGAGGGCCGGGGTTTTCGTTGCCCTGCAGCCCAGCACCCCAGCACCGGCAGAGCGGGGGCAGGACTTGGGTTAAGCGGCCTCCCGCTCCCCTGTCCCCAGAGAAGGGAGTGCTGACCGCAGGGCCCTTGCACCTGCCCGGCCGCCGTCCCTGAGCACCCCGGGTGCGGGGCAGTGTGTGTGGACCAGCAGCCTTGTCCACGGCTGGGGCTGGGCTGGGGCTGCCTCAAGGCGTTGGGGGGCGGCTCCCCTGGGGCCTCTGTCCCGCCCGTGGGGGGCAGCCCTGTGCCCTCGCCCCCCCCCTCCCCGGTCTCCCTCCTGAGCAGCCTCCTGTGTGTCTGTGTCTGAACCTCCCTCCCCGGTGACATCATCATTGGCTGCGTGTCCAGGGTGACCTCATCAGGCTTGATCACATCTCCCAGGCCCGTCTTCTGACGAGCTCACAGGCCCAGTTCTGGGGGGGTGTGCATTTGGGGGGGACGATGCCCAACCAGCGCCAGTGCCCCCCGCAGACACACAGCATCTCCCTCCCTCCCTCCCCCCCCATCGCTGCCCGCACCCCCCCCCCAGATGAGGGTTCCCTTCCCTTGAAGGGAAGACCCCCCTCCCCCTCCCCTGCTCCCCTCCCCTCCTCCCCCCTCCCCTCCCCCTCCCTCCTCCCCTCCCCCCACACTGTTTATTCTTCCCGCCCTCAGTGCACCAAGGCTGTGGGATTTTGCTTATTGATTATCCCCCCACCCGGAAGACAGGTGGGTGCCAGGGGCGCTGCGAGGGGGCGGGAACTGGAATCCACCCCGGGTCTGGGCCGTGGCTCATGGAAGGGGGGGTCCCCGAGAGGCTAGGGCTCCTGTGTCCCTTGTAAACAGTCACTTGTTTCTGCGCCTCTGGAATTTCCTGGGTCTCTGGATGATTCTCTGCTAATGGGCTCAGCTTCCGTCTTTCCCGGAGGAGATCGGCTCTCTGAGGTTTGGGGGGAAGCGCTTCCCTGACACCTCCGGGGCTCTCAGTTCTCCCCGCAGGGGAGGGGGCTCCTAGCTGCTGGGAGGGGCTGGACCCCCGGAGCCCTCTGGGACTGGGGGCGGGGGCTGCTCCTGGCCTGGGAGGGACCTGGTGGCCCTGAGGCCCGCGGTGGGGGGGTGGGGAGGCTGCCCTCGGGCGGTCACTGAGGATGGACGGGGCTTGGCGGGGTGGGGCATGGACGCCAAAGCAGCTCCCAGCCCCTCAGGCTGGGGTGTCTGAGAAGCACTGGCCTTGCCCAGCCCAGGAGGGGCCCAGGTGGGGCAGGGGCTGCCGGCTCACTGGTGGGCGCAGGCTGGGGTCCCAGCTGCCCCTGCACACCCCGGGCGCGTCTGGGCTCAGCTGCCTTTGGGGGTCCAGTCCCAGTGAGAGGCCCTTCAGGATGCCCGCCCCTCAGTAGCTGCCCCTGTCTCTGCCTTGGGGTGTGCTTCCTCCCCGATCATAGGATGGGGCGCTCGCCAAGAACCCCAAGCCCAATACTCTGGAGCCCCAGCTTCTGGGTTAGGGGTGGCACGGGAGGTGCCGGCAGGACGCAGTGCCCCCCAGCGCGTGGAGGCTGCTCTGCTGCAAGCACACCCCAGGAGGCGAGGCAGCCGGTCTCAGGGTCAGGGGCCTCGGGGCGTCATGCGGAGTATCTGCGCTGTGATGCTTCCCTGAGCCCTTGATGGCGGGTATGACTGCCCTTGACGGCGGGCTGGGGTGCGGGGCACAGGCTTGGGGTGAGGGTGCTGGTCCGCTGGCGCAGTGCTTGGGTCCCCTTTCGGACAGCGCCCTGCTCAGGTCCCTGCTGCGCCCGGTGCCCGCGGCAGGAGGGCAGGGTCAGTCTGCGGCTCTGGGGGGAGCTTGGGGAGCAGAGGCCTCGGCCCCGCAGGCGAAGGCCCTGAGAGCAACCAGACCCGGCTCTGTTGGGGGCTGGGCTCACGTCGGGTGCTTGTGAGCTGAGTGAGCTCAGCAGGGTCCCCCAAGCCACCTCCTGTCCTGTGCCAGGTGGACGCCGTGACAGCGTCCATCACGACTCTGGAGGAGCCCGAGGGGAGGGCCGAGAAGCGCCGGGGAGGCCCTTTGTAAACAGTGAGGCTTGGCGTGGGGGCTGGACTGGCCCCGGTGGGGCTTGGCTGTCACTTGGAGAAGCCCCTGGCTCCTCCGGGCATCGTGGCCTGGGCCCTGTAGACCTCAGCTGGGGCCCGCCAGGCCGGGGGAGCCAGCCTCCGTGGCCACTGGGGGCGGCAGCAGCAGGGGGTCTTGAGGGCCTTCCTGGGCTTATAGCTGGGCTGGGCCGGGCCCTGGACGTGCCCTAGGCCCGTGGCTGACCGCTGTGCTCCTCTGCCAGGTCGTCGGACTTCGGGACGTCCTACACCAAGCTCACCCTCCAGCCTGGCGTCACCACGGTCATTGACAGCTTCTACGTTTGCCCGACCAACAAGAGAAAGGTAGGAGCTCTCCAGGGGCCGCTTCCGGGACCCCACCCTGGGGCTCCCCTGGGCCCCAGGCCCGCCCACCTGCCGGGCCCCTGGGGATTGACTCGCAGGTGCCACGCCAGCCCTGGGCAGAGGGCACGGGTGCTGACCCTGGGTGGGGTGGGGGGTGGCCTTCGCCCCCGAGACTGGAGTGACGCCGGCGGCTGAGCAGGCCCCGGGAGCCCGGGCAGGGCCGCCCGCACCCGCGGGAGCTGTCGCGGTTGCTGTCTGTGTGTCTGTACCTCAAGCAGCCGAGGCTGGGGGTGCTGGAGCCCAGTGCTGGGCATGACTCTGGCCGCCTGTGCCAAGCTGCTCCTCACCGGCTCTTACATTTCTAAAAAAAACTGATCAGCGCCCCCAGGTGCAGGTCCCGGTTTATGAAAGCGCCGAGATTAGTTGTGAATAAACTGTGACGCGCGCGTGACACAGCCGAGTCTCTGCTGGGGGCAAGAGCTTAATGACCGGGTGATGATGCTCAGGATCTCGGCGCAGCCTGCGCCAAGGGTGGTGGGTCCTAATGACTGCAGGCCCCGCCCCTGGGCTCTGTGGCCCATAAATAGATATGGAAGGACAGGGCCTCCGAGAGAATTCTAACTGTCGTGTAATTAAAGAGCAATTAAAGAGTTATTTGTGCCATATAAATGAGCCATTATATGTCCTCTGAGGGGCTGCTACACTTTTAACAAAATATGGCCTCTCCCTCACGGGGAGGAAAGTGAACACTGTCCCCGGAGTGAGGGCTCACGGGAGCTGGAGGGTGTTTCTGACGTTCTCAGCAGCGTGTCTGACCTCGGACTTGGCTGGAGGTGTTCCTGGCGTGGAAGGTAGAGCCCCAAGAGGGCTTGTTTTTCCTTCCCACTTGCCTAGCTCCTCACTCCTGCATCCTAAGATCTCTGTGTCAGGCAGGAAGCGAGGTATGAGGGCCACAGTGGGGATGTGCGTCCCGTGGTGTGTGACCCTAAGGAAGTACCATTGGTGTGGGGAGAGCTGGGCCTTAGTCACAGCCATGAAGGCAACTGAGCAGGGAGGGAGGAGGCGCTCTGGGGCCAAGCAGCCCCAGGACAGAGCTTGGGGGATTAAAAGCCCTGGAGACATCGGAGACAGAATGCAGGGCCTTTGGGAAGCTTGAAAGGCAGCGTGGACACAGCAGGACAAGGAGCCATGATGTGTGTGGGGCACAGGGAAGCTCTCACAGGGAAGATGCTGGTGGAGAAGGGAGAGCCAGGCCTGGGAGCCAGAGGCATTGCCAAATACGAATCAAGAGCACTGAGGGGGTGAGGGGGTGAATTCCTGAAGTGGAGCATGAAGCCCTTGTTAAGTCTTCTTTACAATCTCAACTTTTTTCTCCATTAGGAGGAAAAGATAGCTTGCAATTTTTCTCAGAAAAGGAGAGTTATCAAAGAAGCAAGAATCAGGCATGTTTTGGCCCTAAGTTTCTGTATGATAAGATGGCCGCGGGGCGTGCAGGAAAGGTTCCACCTCAGTTTTATACCCAGCTCAGCTTCCACGTGTTGGTTCAGGGCACACAGTGGCATCTTGGGATGGGACAGATCCTACATCCTGTGGCCAGTTGGCTGCCTTGAAAGGGTGGCACTTTGCAGAGATGCTGGCCCCTGAGAGGTGGATGAGCCCCCTGCAGAGAATCGCCTTTTCCTAGCACGAGCCGAGCTGTTCCTGCAGGACGCCTGGGAGTGAGCGCCATGGGCTGTGTTCCCCGATTGCCACCCCGCCCCCCGAACAGCCCTTGCTCGTGCAGTTTGGGCCTCGCTCATGGACAGTCAGGCTGGGTGGTGCTTCCCCCACTGCTCCTGGAGGAAATTCGCAGACGACCTGCAAGGGCCCCGCCTGGGGAAAGCCCCGCGTGTGGCCGTGACGGTAATCGCACCCGAGGGATCATTCCGGAGCGCCCGGCTGCGCTGGCAGGCCACGATTCAACCGCCTTTTGTTAAATGGCCACTTTCCCAGGACGCAGTTAAGTTCAATCCGCTTCGAAATTGTCTGCCAATGACCTGAGCAGCAATCTGATGGCACCTCCGGGGAGGCCTTTCAGCAGACGCTGTAGCCGGCTCCCCAGTGAGCCGGCGGGGCCGGAGGGAACCACAGCGCCCTCCGGGGGTGAGGAGACCTGTCGAGGCGGGGCCATTCGGCCGCCATGGCAACTCTGGGGAGAAGCACCCCCTCTCCCTTCATCTGCAGCAGTTTGGTGTCAGAGACAGAACAAGGCAGACACGCTCCTGTGCTTGTCCCGGAGGGAAGCGGGCCTTGGGCTGAACATGCCTGGATGACCAGCCCGCGGTGGGGGCAGCAGTGCTGGGACAATGTGTAGGGTTAGAACTCACTCGGGACGGGGGTATGGGGCGTTTGCTTGACGCTGAGTCTGAAGGTAGGACTTACATAGGTGGAAAGGGGGGGTGGGAACAGCAGGTGCAAAGGCCCTGAGGCTGGAGAGCCCTGCAGGTGCGGTGGCAGCAGCACGGGGATGAGCAGGGTCTGTGGTCAGGGGGGCAGTTGCCCACGGGGGGGAGCATCTGAAGTGGTTGGGGGGTCCTGAAAGTCTGAATATCGCACACTCCTCCGGCACCTTGATGGCCAGTGGCTCCTGAGAGTGATGGGAAGCTGGTAAAGGGTTTTAAGCAGATGATAACAACATCGTGGTTGTATTTTAAAAGATCTACAATGGTGAGCTAGGAGGAGACCTAGCTGTCATCCAGATGAGGGGTGGCTGGGTTTCAGCAATGGGGTGACTAGGGCTACCCCTCCGAATGGGGGAGATGTTGAGGGAGGAATGAGTTTGAGGGAGCAAATAATGAATTTCCTGTTGAGTCTGTTGACGTTAGAGAACCCTCGGGATCCAAGCAGACACCACGCATGTGGACGTGTGCGGGAGGTGGTCAGGGCTGGGCTGGGCTGGAGGTGGCCCCTGCAGCCCCTGGCACAGAGAGGCCTCGAGGGAGCGTGGGGAGTAGAGCGTGAGGTCTGGCTCTCGTTGCTCGTGGGCTGGGAAAGACCCTGCAGAGACCAGGGCCCGGTCCTCCCTCGGCTGGTGGAAGCCACAAAACGTCCAGTTCCACAAGGAGAAAAGTAGGTGTGTCTAAGCCCAGGCAGCCGCAGAGCAGGCTCCAGCGTGTGCTAGCCGCTCCCTGCTGTCCACTGGCCACCTGGCTTTCCACCCGTCCCCCTCTGCCCGCCAGCCTCCGCCATCCACATACCGGTATGTCCACCTGCCCGTCTATCCCTCTGACCACCTGTCTTTCCAGCCACCCACTGTGCACCCACCTACCCATCCACCTTGCCTCCCCTCCCTCCCCACCCCGGCCTTCCTTGCTTTCACCCGTCCGTGCGGCCAGCACCCACTCACCTGTGCCGGCACATGACGCACTCCACACAGCAGGGCAGGGTGTGCCAATGCCACGTGGGGAGAGGGCACGTTTGTCACAAAGCAGATGCCTCCCACGGGGACACAGGGGCATCGGGTCCGCCTGTCTGGAGACTTCCCAGCTGAGGGGCAGCTCCCCGGGGCACTGAAGGAGGCTGGAGAGCAAACAGGTGGGCAGTGCCATGGGGGCCATAGGCAGAGGCGCGTGGGCCCAGGGTGACCGGGGGTGGGTGACCAGAGTCCCGAGGACATGTTTCTGCAGCTGACCAAGTGTCCGCGAGTGACCGACGCTTTGAAGGTGCTTGCAGGGCTTGCGAAGGTGCTTGCGAGGTCGAGCATCGAACCTGCCATGAAGGCCTTGCGCGTTGCGTTCCCTCGGGGCAGAGTCGGCCGCTCTCTGGGAAGTGCCTGGGATCCCGGGCGCCTCCCCCACAAGACCCCGACACCCCCCGTGCTCCTGAAGCTCAGCCACGGCTCTGCCTCGGGCTGTTGTGAGCCCCAAACACAGAGAGAAGGGGAGGCTCGGGGGCCTCCGGGTGCCACCTCGTCATCGCACACCAAGTAGCTGGAGACGAGCAGCCGAGCGAGGGCGCGGATGGAGTTAGCTGCTCGGCCAGATCCTGAGATCACGACGATGATCGAGTGTTAGCTGATGAGCATCCCCAGTGGCCCGTGCTCAGCACCCCCATGGGCCTCCTTGCAAACGCCCGGGAGCTGCACGGGGCACCGTCCACCGGCGGGAGTCACAGCCGAGACCGTCCTCACGAGGTCCCCACCCCCGCGTCCCAAGCAGCGGCTGCCCCAAACTCCTGTGACCATTAGTGTGTTTTGTCATCCAACACCTGCCGGGCAGCTCAGGGAGAGGCTCGGGGGCTCAGGAGGATCGCCCCGCCGCACCGGCCCAGCAGCCCGTGGTCACCTCATCGATCGTCTGTCCTATCCCTCGTGCCCGCCGGGGCGGGAGGCGGTGCGTGCAGGCGGCGGGCCTGCCTCTGTTTACCCGGCTCAGGTCAGGCGCAGTGAAGTGTTGACCACTGGGTGTGGCGGGGGGTGGGGGGAGCTGCCCTTCACCCGGCGGGCCTTCCTGAGGGTTCTCCGGCAGAGGCGGGGGAAGGCGGCAGGAAGGAAACCACCTTGCTGTTGGCCAGGGCCGCGGGCCCCCGCCGAGGAGGACACAGTGCTCGCCTGGAGGCCCTGGGTGGGGCTGACAGGGGTGCTCAGGGTGCTCCGCGTGCCCAGGAAAGGCGGGCTCCCCCAGAACAGCCAAGTGCGGGGGTGGCGAGGGAACGACGGGGCCGGGTGTGAGCAGCTGCCGCTGAGCCAGCTCAGCCCCCCCAGAGCAGCGTCCCCCGAGCTTCTCCGCCCGCCGCCGCGGAGGGAGAGCAGTGTTTGCACGACATTTCATTCTTCTCTGGGTGCTGGTCCTTTGAAGACAGAATAATGAGCTCCCCATTAGCATGTTGATAATCTCGGAGATTTAGACACTTATTTCCCTGTCGACAGAGGCTGGTGGCGTTAAAATGTGGCTCTGATAAGAGAGAAATTGAGCCTTGTCGAGCCAGACAAGCGGGGTGTTCTCGGCTGTGACTTGGAGAAA